GCATGAAGGCCGACATCACAACGGCACGAAGGCCGACAATCACAAACGGCACGAAGGCCGATAAGCACAGCGACACGAAGGCCGAGCGGAGAAAGGGTGGATATACCTTGCCCACGCTCATAGGCGGTTCGGTGACGGTAGGGGTGTCGGCGGGATAGGCACACGGAGAAGACGGCCGAGGCACCTCCTCCTCCCCTCCACCTTGGCTTCCTCCCCTCTCTCCTTCTCCTCCTCCTTCCTCTCCTCCTCCTCCTTCCTTTTTTTTCTCTTTTTTCCTTCTCCTTCTTCTTCCTTTTCCTTCTCTTTCTTTCTCCTCTTTTTTCTTCCTTCTTCTTCCTTCTTCTCCTCCCTTCTTCTTACTGCTGCTTCCTCCTCCTTCTTCCAAGCCGGCGGCAAGACCAGGGGAGCACGGGGCACGTGAGTCGGCTCGTCTGCAGGGGAGACGGACACAGGGGCGTGCCAGGCGGCAACGCGCGACGGACGGTGGTGGTGGGCCACGCCTGACGGTGTGCAGCACATACCGGGAGCCGCGGCCAGGCTGGGGTGTGCTCGGGGCAGCGATCTGGGCGGCGGGCACGGCGTGTGGCGGGGCTCACGTGGCGTGGCATGCATGGAGTGGGGGTGGCGTTAGCGGGGCTGGGGATGCTGTGCCGGGACCGAGCGAGAAGTGGCGGCGTGGCGGGCCGGGGGGTGCTCGGGCGAGGCGATCTGAGGGGCGGGGCGGTGGTGGCGGGGCTCACGGCGTGATGGCTGACGCCAAATGAGCGGGGGGGTGGCAACAAGGGGCGGGATGCGCGCACCGGGACCGAGCAGAGCGGGCGGGCGGACGGATAGGGTTCTGGGGTGGGGAGGGGGATTTTGGTCCGGCGGCCCATTTTCTATTGGGCCTTGCCGAGTGCTCCAGAAAGGGGCACTCGACAATTTTTTTTAAACATATTTTGCCGAGTGTAAGCCTTGGGCACTTGTCAATTTTTTTTAAATTTTTTAAAACTTATTTTGCCAAGTGCCGCCGCCGCAGCACTCGGCAAAAAAATTTATTTTTGAAAAACAACTTTGCCGAAAGTGCCGCCCGCACTCGACAAAGTTGATTTTCAAAAAAATAAGTTTTAAAAACTCGGCAAAATAAGTTTTAAAAAATTAATTTTTTTTTTTGCCGAGTGTCCAAGGCTTACACTCGGCAAAATATGTTTTTAAAAAATAAAAAAAATTTTGCCGAGTGCCTTGGTCTGGCTCTCGGCAAAATAAGTTTAAAAAAAAAAATTTGCCGAGTGCCATGGGCTGGCACTCGGCAAAATATGTTTTTTAAAAAAAAAATTGCCGAGTGCCTGGAGCTAGCACTCGGCAAAATAAGTTTTTAAAAAAAAAAAAAATTGTCGAGTGCCATCCGTTAGGCACTCGGCAAAATCTGACGGCAGGTGGCCGGCCACCTTTTGCCGAGTGCCGCGGCACTCGGCAAAGCCCAGCTTTGCCAAGAGCCAGGCTTGGCACTCGGCAAAGCCACCTTTGTCGAGTGCTTTATTTTGCCGAGTGCGGCACTCGACAAAATATTGCTTTGCCGAGAGTGCTCCAATAAAAAGCACTCGGCAAAGTCTCAAGTACTCGGTAAAGTACAGTTTTCCAGTAGTGGACTGCGCGGTATGGTTCTTTGGCATAAAAAAGGTCGATACAAACCCTGACGAAGGATACGGTGGGTGGAACACTCTTTGCTATAGTGACACCATGATGAAGGACGCCACATAGAGACAGGCAACGAGTGGACGTTCCTGCTGCAGCTCCAATGTGTTAGATAGATCGTGAAGCTATCAGAAAATTTGGAAATATTTGGGTAATGAACAGTTGCGCTATACAACGTCGGGTTGGTTTATTCTCTTTTACTGATGAACTTACGGAGAGGAAGAATTGCATTTAAAAAAACTAAAATAATGGTGTGCACTAACCATAACAAAGTTTTTCTAGAAACAAGAGCTTTATATTACTTCCGTTCTTAGCATGAGACTGAGTCATGTTGAATATATTGAAGTAAAAAGCTAAGGACATACATTCAGAATTTGAAACCAAAGCATAGTTGGCTATATAATGCATAGTGTGTTTGCTTCCCTCCTTACATAAGCAAAATCAAAATGTGTACATCTCCGACAAAAGCTCTTGAATTTGATCTAGACCCAGAAGAATAGCACACATATTGTTAGAATATGTTAGCTCTAAAATTCCATAGAGAGACTAATTCTTAACAATCAGTCTCAACAATAACCTTTGTCAGTTCTAAATTCTTTATTAGTAGTGCCGCATCATGATAGGTATAAGCTTCAGCGATATGAGGCATTAGATATCAAATCATGCCATTTACATTCATGTGCATTACGATGTAAGACCACTCCCATTTGGAGGAGGACATCAGTGAGCTCTCTTCACTTGATTCTTCAGATCAGTATATGACAAGGAGCTATAATGGATAAGATCAGTTGCCATTTCCTATGCCCACTCATGTGATCGAGTTATAGAAATTGTTCTTTTCCCCATGTTTTCATCTCTTTTTTTCTGTCCATAATGCCCATGCCACATAAGATAGTATTACATTTATCCTGTAAACAATGTACTGTCAAGAAGGTCATGGCTCTAGGTAGTTGGGTGCAGCAGTGGTAATTTAATGTCATACATGGTTTTGAAAGAACTTCAGAAAACACTATCCAAAGTGTATTGAGTTAAAGCATGGTAAGTTGTATCCTCTTCAACTGCATAATCTAGACAAAAAATTAGACATCTATATGTTTTTTGGCCAATTTTGCATGACCAGGAACAAAATTATTGATAACAAACCACCAAAAAAACTTTAGATTATTGGGGGTGTATTTTAAGTCACCAAAGAACTTACGAACTGGATTGTTTTCATTAACTAAACTGCAGGCAGTGTTATTTTTAAAATTGTCAGCCATTCTTGAGCTAGAAATAAATAATCACTAGGTTGAACTTACAATATACATACCATTCTTTTCCACACACCAGACCCAGGTACTTTCCACAAGTCTTTCAATGTGCCTACCAAGAATCTCAATGGTCGATGAGATCTCGAACAGGAAAGCGACCCTAGCTCTGACATGATAAAGGCCCCGTTCGGCTGACAGAATTTTGGCTGAAATTAGCTGAAAAACACTGTTCTGGCTGAATTGTTGTGAGAGAAAAACAATGTTCCAACTGAAAAAAGAAGCCGAACAAACCGAATATGGGGTAAGCCGAACGGGGCCTGATGCGCAGCTTTTGGAGTTTACTAGACTGTAGTTGTTGTGCTCTTTTTTCCCCCTTATACGAGTTAGATAACATCTCAATACGAGAGTGTACTTAAGATATACTTGAGATCGACATACATATGTTGCACTAGCCTAAATACATTGTATTTAAGTTTGCAGGTTTTAGTATCTTATTATTGGTACCATATATTTGTTAGATTGTGAGTTAGGATCATAAATCATATGGAAACATATTATTAATATCAAGCATGATTTCATGAATGTTGGAGAGCATAGTGATACATGTTGCAGTTTAATGTTACATTTTTTAGAGACATCTTAGCTTTATAGCGCGCCAGCTATATATGCAAAATTATTAATTGTGATCTTCACCGTACAATCTTGATTTGTTTAGTTTCAATCTCTCGGAGGTTGAAGCCATTCATTGTTGTAGTAGCCTCTTTGTTGGCTTGTTAAGTTGCTGATATCATGAGGATGGCAAGTACACCTGTTGTGGTTGCTAAGTGCGACCCTTCTTGATGCACTATAATTAGTTTTTTCTCATCTATCTCCTTTGTAGTGCTTTAGATGTGAAACAGGAATATGAACCATCTATGCTTTAATAGGAAATGAACTATTATTTTTCACTGTTGATGCATGAAGCAATTATCTGATGAAACTATCAAAATGGCTTAGAAGAGAAGTCACGTGTCTGATGTTCTAGTAAAGATCAAAAGGCTAGCAAGAATAGATAGAGAGCATTAAATATATATGAATGGATTATTTTCGCGGACTTTAAATATGGATATAGATATGGGTCATACCAAAAGCATGACCTATTATGATAGATTGGTTGTTTAATCCTCTTGCCAAACTCAAGCCTAGCAAGAGTAGAGAGCCAGATGACATCCGTATGCTTTGGAGTCTAGACTTTGGTCACGCAACTATGCAAAGACATCAGATTAGCCAGTTCCGCGAGTCACGCGACCGTTGAACCGTATGGCCCACGTGACAGAGAGAAGAGAAGGTTCCCCCCGTTTCTCGCGGAAGAAGACAAAAGTCCAGCCGGACACCGCAGCTCGCCTCTCGCCTTTGGCCTCGGGCCCTCGGTGGTGAAACGGAGTCACGGAATTTTTGACGGCAGGAACACACACGGTACTAGTACGTTCTAACGACTCACTGACACCGGGCCCGAGAACTGGCTGAACAGAACTCATGAGCCTTGCAATTATTTCTGTACGTAAAAACGCACTACCCTTCACAAATGAGTATTGTGGGGCACAGGTGTCAGCGCTAGAAGGCAAGGTATGTAACTGAATTGTTAAGTGACAAAAGGCGGGATGTGTTCCAACGGCCCGCCTCGACGCTCGGCTCACCGTCCAGGCAGAGCGACCGCCTCACCAAGCGGCGGAGCTCAGCCATCAACCGGCCCGACGGCTCTGATCTCCTCCGCGCCCCGCTTTCCCCAGAAGAAGCTCATCTGAGCCGTCGGATCGAAGTATAAATAACGACGGGCACGCAAGACCGCTCCCTCTATTTCTTCACCCGTCTCCCCTGTCACCTCCGTTTGTTTCCCTGAGAAGGCGAGCCGAGGCGGAGCCGGAAGGCGGCGAAGCGTTCGCGGTCGCGGCGCCCTCGCGGTTTGGGGTTTGTGTCCGTTCCCTCTCTCTCCGCCCGAATCCCCCTATTCTCTGGCGCTAACCCTAGCCCAATGCAGCAGGAGGAGGATCGCCTGGAGAGCGTGCGCGGGGTGGTGGTGGTGGAGCGGCGGCGAAGATGACGGCGCCGCGCGGTGGCGGGGACGAGCCGCCGCCGCCGCCGCCGTCGTCGGCTGCGGCGGGGCACGCCGCGGGGAACGAGCCGGTGACGCCCACGTCCGCGCTCGGGTCGGGGCTCAACCGCCGCGGGTCGAGGGGTGCGGGCATGGCCACCTTCTCCATGGAGGTCTTCGACAACGAAGTCGTCCCATCCACGCTCAACAGCATCGCGCCCATCCTGCGTGTCGCGGCCGAGATCGAGCACGAGCGCCCCCGGGTCGCCTACCTCTGTATGTTGCATTCCTGCTCTCGGGAATTATTGTGGTGCACTCGCGTGCGGTTTTGACGCGTTTGGTCTGAATTTCGCGACGAAATGAATTAATCGAGCGCTCCTGATGAACTTTTAGCCTGGTTGTCTGCTTCGAACTTTTTTGGTTCGTGCGTTTCGACGAGTTTATTCTGAGAATTTTTGGGCCACATGCGCGCCTTGATTCGTGATTTTCGAAGAGGTATTGCTGAATCGTTGTGATCATCCGAGTGTGTTCAGACAAAGAGTTGATGTGGTTTCTCTACGAACTTTTCTAGTTTAGCCACGTCTCCCTGCTTCGGAGAGGAAATTTCGGAGTATGTTCACACCCGCGCGTAACATAGTTCGTTTTTTATTGGCTTGTCACACCGATTATTGTGAGAGAAAAAAATAACATTCTATTCGGAATAGTGTTCGTGAGAGATAAAGCGTTTTGCCACCAACCGAACGGCCCTTATGTGGCCATCCGTATGCATCAATTGTTCGTTTCGGGGGCAATTTGTCTTTCAGGGCACAGATTGGATGCACTATATGATTGTCCTGACCATACTTTCTCGGTTTTGTATAAACCAGTTTGCAGTCAGATTGCCATGAATAGTATCTCGTTACTGGAATTTGAGACTTGGATAGAATAGGCGCGTACATTTATTTTTTGTTTAAATAATAAACTGATGTCCAGATCGGTTTGGCTAGAATAGTATCTCGTTACTGGAATTGAGACTTGCATTGGATAATAGGCTTGTGCTACTTCCTGCAAGATAGTTGCAAGTTGTTAGCCTTTTGATGCTTTCATCTTGATATATAGTTTCCCTGTGAAATTAGGTCGGTTCTATGCCTTCGAGAAGGCGCACCGGCTGGATCAAAACTCCATCGGCCGTGGCGTTAGGCAGTTCAAGACAGCTCTGCTCCAACGTCTTGAGAAGGTGAGACACACCCTTGCTCCATATTGTCTTAGTGTATGTGGTGTTCTCCTTTGTGTTTATTCATTTCAGTTCGTTTATTGCTTGTTGTTTTTAGAGCATCTCCAAGAGTTTGTCAAATTTTACTTGGCAAATCTTGTGATTTGCCAACTCCCAAAATTATATGCCAAGTAAAAAAACAATCCATCTCCAAGAGTTTGGCATTTTTGACTTGATAAAATAAAAAAACCCGTTAACAAAACAAAGATGCCCGCTAAGCGAACGAAGAGCCCCGCTAGAAAACGAAGAGCCCCGGATGCCAAGCCGTATACGCGCGCGTATATTTGCGCGCGCGGAGGGAAGATTTACCAAGTTGCTATCGATGCAAAGTTGTTTTGCCAAACTGTTGGAGGCTATTTTTTCTTGTTTTGCCAAAATTATATGGATGCCAAGTTGAGATAGCAAATTCTTGGAGATGCTGCCAGTATTATAATCTGTACTCTGCTGTCAAATTCGTCACAGTTGGATAATAATTCTGAAAACATTGCTGGTGACGGCGGGCCTGGGCCTAGGGCAACTAGGGCCATGGCCCTAGTCGTGGCCCGAGAACTCCTACTACCATGTATAGATTTTTGGCCCATATGAAATATCAGGTCCAAGTCCAACGAGGGGGAACGGGAACCTTGTCCCTTCCGACGCCGACACCATAGCTCCGATCGCCCCTTTCGCTCGCTCCCACCACCATCGACCACCGCCGGCCTGACGCCCTCAGTCCTCGATAACTCATCTCGGATTGCTGGCCTGTCCGCCTGTTCCCTGCTCTGTGCTCACACTGTCATTCTCGTGTAAGCCGATCGGTAGCAAGTGGCAGGGCGCAGCCGGAGCAGCGGCGCCGCGCCGCCCTGGGCCCTGAGCCCCTGACAGCATTGCAGCACTGAGATAGCCCACAAGGCGTAGGCCGGCAGCTCCATTTTGGATCTCTGGCCTTCACACAGTTCCACTCCTGTACACGTCTGCTCCATTATAGCTACACGCCTACACCCTCCAAATTTAAGTATTTTTTCTCTAATGTCTACAGTCTACTCCCTAATTTCCAGTTCCTGCTGTTTGTAGCTTTACTTTATTCATTCAATTTGTTGAAAGTTCAATCATCAATTTAAATTTATAGATCGTTTAACCCCCACCCCCTGCCACACACGCACACACCACCCCACACCACCCCACCCACACAGTCCCACACACAACTGAATGAAACATTTTTTTTTTGTGTGTACCATACAATATCCTTAACTATTTAATTGCACTACTGAATGAAATATTTATTTTTGTGTGTATTAGCAATGTTTTTTTACTATTTTATTGAACTATTAAACATGTAGTTCAAGCATCATATCAATTAGAAATTTTTTCGTTCATTTTAGCTCTCTTTATGTGCAACATATATATGGTAGGTTTTGGCACTGATAAAGTGGCCCTCGTCTTGAACAATATATGTGCCTGTGTGAGCCTAAAAAATGAAGGTACATTATGTTGAAACAACACATGATAATAGCTTGCCTTTTGATTTTTACTAGAATGGAACGATGATATACGTGAGAGATTAGGGGTAGCGCCAATTGAAGAAAAGCTTGTCCAACACCGGTTGAGATGGTTTGGACATGTGCAACGGAGACCTTCAGATGCACCGGTGCGTAGTGGAATCCTAAGTCAGGATAGTAGCGTGAAGAGAGGCAGAGGAAGACCGAAGTTGACTTGGGTAGAGGCAATAAAAGGAGACTTGAAAGGATGGAATATACCCAAAGACTTAGCCTTAGATAGGAATGCTTGGAAGACAGCTATTCACGTGCCTGAACCTTGATTGTTTCTGTTGGGTTTCAACTCTAGCCTACCCCAACTTGTTTGGGACTTAAAGGCTTTGTTGTTGTTGTTGTTGTTGTTGTTGGAAAGATTCCTCAAACCAAATACCGTATTAGTTTTGTTATATCTTTCACAACCTGCTCTTGAACTATTGAGAATGTATTTTTTTTCACTCTTTTGCAACAACACAGGATAATAGCCCTAGTCTTGCTAAGCGTGTGAAGAAAAGCGATGCTCGCGAGATTGAGAGTTTTTACCAACAGTACTACGAGAACTATGTTCGTGCACTTGACAAAGGGGAACAAGCTGACAGGTAATTCCCAAGTTTCCAACCAGAGCTCTCCAATGTATGTATAAATCTAATCCTACCCATGCGTACCATGTCCCATGTCAATGTCGCTTGCAGGGCTCAACTTGGGAAGGCCTACCAGACCGCTGGAGTCCTCTTCGAGGTACTCTGCGCCGTCAATAAAAATGAGAAAGTCGAGGAGCTCAATCCTGAGGTTCGTGTTTGCCATCTATTCTGATTAGTTCTATTGCAATATATCTAATGAGTTTCTCTAATATTCCCCTGCACAGATTATTCGCTTGCACAAGGATGTGCAAGAGAAGAAAGACATCTACACACCATTCAATATCCTCCCCCTTGATGCCGCCAGTGCATCCCAGTCCATCATGCAGCTGGAGGAGGTATGTACGATCCATAACTGTGGAATGCATTTGCTCTAAAAGAATAACGCCGCTGTACTGATTTAATGAAATAGTGCAATATTAACAGATCAAAGCAGCAGTTGCAGCCCTGCGGAACATACGGGGCTTGACCTGGCCTTCAACATTCGAGCCGCAGAGGCAGAAGGGTGGCGATCTTGATTTGTTGGATTGGTTGAGAGCTATGTTTGGCTTTCAGGTCTTCTGGTTCTATTTCAGTTTGCTTGCTCTTTTTATTACTATGGGAATTTTGGTCCTGTGCTACTGTAGATAGAATATGGATCATTTTGGTCATATTCCTAGTAAAGCCTGGTTACATTTGTATCTAACATCCCCTAAAAAAAACATTTGTATCTAACATTAGCTTTCTTCTTATGTGCAGCGAGATAGTGTGCGGAATCAAAGAGAGCATTTGATTCTCCTCCTTGCTAATGTCCACATTAGGCTCGAGCCAAAGCCCGATCCACTCAGCAAGGTTTGCTCTTTCGCACAATTCATTTTGGTGGCTTGACCATAAAGATGTGAAAATTTTGATATATTAATCGACTATTCTTCTGTTGTCGAACTTGTAAGTCTCCTGAAGTAAATTTTGTTGGCTAGAAACGTGCCGTGATACTGGCATCAGATTAACTGAGTTTTGAAATAGCTGCATATAAAATGTGAGATGATTATTGACTAGTTGCAGTCTATCATACGGTGAAGAATATAACTATAGCTCAGTCCAAACACACACAGACACATTACACAACTGATTGGGTATTAGATTGGATGTTTGTGCCTCAAGTGTATTACTAGAGAATACTAATCAAGCCCTTTGTTTTTCATGCCTCTCAGTTAACTGGAATTTTTCTTTATCATTCGAACAGCTTGATGACCGAGCTGTTGATGTGGTCATGACTAAGCTATTCAACAATTACAGGAAGTGGTGCAAATTTTTGTCACGGAAGCATAGTTTAAGGTGTAATATTCCTTACAATTGTTATCAGAGAAAAAATTACTCTTACTGTAAATGGTACTGATGATCTTGCGACTGCAGATTTCCTCAAGGCGCACAACCACAGGAAATTCAGCAGCGGAAGATTCTATACCTAGGTCTTTATCTTCTTATATGGGGTGAAGCAGCAAATATCAGATTTATGCCGGAGTGTCTTTGCTACATCTTCCATAATGTATGATACACTTTTTTAATTATCATATTTTGTGGCAAAGCTCGGTGCAATAAAGTTTATACACTGTGACATGCCATCTTCGATTTGCTCAGATGGCATATGAGCTGCATGGTCTGCTAGCTGGAAATGTTAGTATTGTGACTGGGGAGAATATCAGGCCATCTTATGGTGGGGATGAGGAGGCATTCTTGAAGAAAGTAGTTACGCCTTTCTATAGAGTCATCAGAAAGGTACTTTGATAAATCATCACATAGAAAAATGCGCAATTAGTTTTGTTAAATATGGACAATTGTGATTATTTGCAGGAGGCAGGCAAATCACAACATGGGAAGACGCCACATTCTGCGTGGTCTAACTATGATGATCTAAATGAGTACTTCTGGTCTGTTCACTGCTTTATTTTCTTACTTAGTACATATCTGCTCCTTCATGTTGTGTTTTTTTTTAAGAAACAGGAGGGGTAGCCCCCTACTGGTTAAAATATATTAATAATAGAATTAAAAAGGAGTGTGTAAGCAACAGAATTCATGAAACAAAAAAAGGACACAAAGAATATTAAAAAGATCACAATGGGCGCTCTAGCCATTCTTCTATAAAAGGGAAATATTTCTTCTCTGCTCTATGGATAACCAGTCCTTCGCGTTGTGTGTAACAAGTCCTACTCTGTTTCACTCAGGACATCTGATTGCTTCTCACTTGGGTGGCCTATGCGGGATGATGGTGACTTTTTCAAATCCGTGCATGACTCAAGGCCTGTAACAACGGTATAAATTTGATATCCATATGGTTTCAGCCAATATCTCTTGCCAAGAAATTTGATTGGGAATTGCTTTCTGACAAACGTTATTTATAGGCTGGAAGCTCACCACAAAAGGATTCCACGAAAAGTACGGGGAAGACAAATTTTGTTGAGACTAGAACATTTTGGCACATCTTCCGAAGTTTTGACCGAATGTGGACTTTCTACATTTTGGCTCTACAGGTACTGTACTGAAATTGCATATGGATGTTCTTTTATCTTGACTACAGTTTGACACCTGCTAATCTTCTAGTGACTTATTGAACAGGCAATGCTGATTTTTGCCTGGAATGATTATTCAGTGACCGAAATCCTTCGGAAAGACCTTTTGTATTCTCTATCTAGTGTATTCGTCACTGCAGCATTTCTACAGTTCCTCCAAAGTATGTTCCCCTTTAACATGCCTTTTTTCTCTCTCGAACGCACAGGAGAGCTGCGTGTCATTGCATTGATAGATAGAAAAAAAAGATCTGATTACAAGCCGATTCCATGGCTGGGGTTAGTATTTTTGCATGGACACACCCGTTAAACAATCTCGTTTAACATTCTTTTGCTGACCAAAATTTTTCTTAAATATGTACATATCAACATGATAGGCAGCAAGTTTTTCTGAACTATATATCTTTATGGAAACCAAAGCCATTGTTGCCTTATGTTCTTTAATTCACTCTTTGTACTTTAACCTTCTGTAAAGTGATTGACAAAGTGTGTTTTTTAGGGTGGAATGAACTATTTGAATTTGTCTTCATTGTTAAAACGGTGTCAGATGAACTTCTCAGTTAATAGATCCTGAACAAATAATGGAATTCAAATGCGGACTAATGACTGATATCTAATTATTGCTAGAAGGAATCTGTAGAACATCTGATAATATCTGTTAGCCTTATCACTTACAACTTTTCAGTTGGTGAATTCGTTTTTTGTTTTAAAAAAATCGCTTGTCCAACCTTCTGCTGATACCTTCTACTGATCCCCAAAATTTTCCAATATCATCAGTTCATGTCATCTGTCTTGAGAATTATATGTAGCATGGAGCGGTCATGTTCTGTTGAATTTGGAGCTTACGTGTCCTCAGATATTTTAACACAATATTACACTTTCTTCCTCCTTATTTGAAACGCAGAGCTCCTGCCATTATGTTAAGAAATGTTTCTAGTTCAAAGTATGACTGACCTTTTTCTATAATTGATGGCAGGCATTTTGGACTTAATTCTGAACTTTCCTGGCAGTCATAGATGCAAGTTCGTTGACATCTTGAGAAGTATTCTGAAGATGATAGTTAGTGCCGTGTGGGCTGTGGTTCTTCCATTTTTCTACATTAGCACAGCATCTAAAGTCAACTTATTACCACTCAAGGATTTAAATAAATATCTCCGTTATGTCAAAGGGGTGCCACCTCTATATATCCTGGCTGTGGCAGTGTACCTAATACCTAATATCCTTAGTGCAGCACTCTTCCTGTTTCCAATGTTCCGAAGGTGGATAGAAAATTCAGACTGGCATATTGTTAGACTGCTTTTGTGGTGGTCTCAGGTATTCAATTCAATCTAGTCTCTTTATTTTTGTTGTATATATATTTTCAAAAATTACTTATGCAACATGTTTGTAAAAAGCTCTTCCCAAAGTTTCTGCTGTGAGACAACAAATTTTTACTCGGCAAAGTCTTAAGCTATTATTTGGACAGGATTCAATTGATTTTGCAAAGGAATGCATTTGGTCACTGACTTATTCATGCTCTTGTTCATAGATTCCCTAGATCTGTAATTTGGTCAATCTTGCAAAAATGCATTTGATCATTTCTTTGATCATTTGAATGACAGTCAAGTTTACAAGAGTATCGTGAATTATTGTCAAGTTGGATTGTTATGCCCACTATATGCCAATCTCGTGTTATCTGTCAGGCATCCTAGTGTTTGTAGTTGGACTTGGACAAGAGTTAGCTCATAAAACAGTCCCATAAAAAATGTCAAAGGACTACGAGTGTAAAGGAAGAAATTATCTCATCTTTTGACTTTTGTCTGATTAAGTGTGGTTTTGGTAATTGTATAGTTCTTCAAAGCATACTGCAATTCTCTTCTCTAACAATATTTCTTCAGCCAAGCATTACCTATTGCATTTGTTAGAGCTACATAATTAATAAAGGAGGTCATATTATGTGCTACTTCAGCAAATGTAGATGTCTAATCAGCAGTATCTGAAAATGTTTGCATAAATGCTTCCACAGTCAAGTCGGTCAAAACATTTCGTACACTTAACTATTTCCATAGCATGCACCCAAGCAATGTGAGATTTCTTTAGAAAGTCTGTTTCGGAGATTTCTCCTTGGTTTTGCTGCATAAAAATAATTCCATGCACCATTTATTGTTCCATACACTTGTTATACCATCCCAATTGCACAAAAAATTGCAGAAACGAATTTACGTTGGCCGTGGAATGCACGAAAGCCAAGTTTCACTTTTTAAGTAAGTTAATATACTCTTTGTTTATTTTCAATATTTATTTATTATTACTAGTCTTCTCTCTTGAGATGCTTATTCTCTTCTGTTCAATTCAAAGGTATACATTTTTTTGGATTTTGCTGTTATGCTCCAAATTTTCGTTCAGCTACTTTGTCCAGGTAAGTTCTATAATTAGATGTTTTGCAATGATTCTTTTATGTGCTGGATCTAAAACTCATCTTAATTTGCAGATTCAACCTCTGATAAAACCAACAAAGGACGTAATGGGTGTTCATAATATTCGTTATGAGTGGCATGAATTTTTTCCAAATGGTAATTGATTATTTCCTTCATTCATTCTTTATTTTTTGGGTAGGGTCTTCATTGAGGGACTCCTTTCCCTTATATAATATAAAACTATTACCTTCGCAGCATCCTATAATATTGGTGCCATTATGTCGCTCTGGGCTCCTGTTCTACTTGTATGTACTTACCCAACTTATATATATATATTATCTGTATAGTAATATCATCTTATTCATCACCTTTGATTTACTTATCATCTTATTCATAGCCTTTGATTTACTTACCCGACTTGTATATATATTATCTGGCTAGTAATATTTGTCTTATTCTTCTCCTTTGATTTGAAACATGAACTATAACCCTAATATTCATTTTTGTTGCCTTTAACTATTGCAGGTCTATTTGATGGATACACAGATTTGGTACGCCATCTTCTCTACAATATTTGGTGGCATGACTGGAGCACTTGGGCGACTTGGGGAGGTAATAATGAACCTAAATTTGTCTATGTTACTTGTCGAGCATTAAAATGTGTAGAGAGTTTGATTACCAAATGATTCTTTTTTTGCAATGACTTCTGTATTAAGTGGGTAATTGAATAAATTAAAATCACAGGGAGTTGCATTAACCAATAAGCTTTAACTTTACAAATGAAATAATTTGTATACAATATAACAAAGTTTTATGCAAAACATGTTCTGTATGGAAAAATCTTACTGAAATGTCCTAACAGTTGAAATGCTTCTGCAGCCTTAAAATTCAATTGAATTTCACAAGGCAATTTTATGTTTGTAAGGATCTGTTTTCTGGCTTACTGGTCTCTTTATCTCTTTTATGATCAATTTTCAAGGTTTTTGTTGTTTTATTTAATGACATATACTCTGTTCATATTGTATTAATAAAGTTCAGCATAGAGACTTATTCTGATGGCTTGTTGCACGCACAATCTGATTCACTCCTTTAACTGTTGCCACATTCTATTAATGTTCTCATTTTCTTTTTAAAAAAATGTTATTGGCCTTCTGTAATAGTTAGACATGTGTATACCATTTAACAGTTGAATAATACCAACACAGAGCAGGAGCTCTCTGCACTGGGTACTTTCTAAATGAGCTGTTAATTTATCTGCATTAGATACGAACATTGGGAATGCTGAGATCACGATTCCATTCTTTGCCTGGAGCCTTCAACACGTATTTGGTGCCTTCAGATAAAAGCAGAAACAGGCGCTTTTCACTCTCAAAGCGCTTTGCTGAGGTTTCAAATGACTGAATTTTTTGGCATGATTCCCCTAATAAACTAAGGTAACTTCTTATTATAAGTTATTGAACATACAGGTTTCTCCCAACAAGAGAACTGAGGCCGCCAAATTTGCTCAATTGTGGAATGAAGTAATATGCAGTTTCCGGGAAGAAGATCTTATAAGTGATAGGTGAGGCACTTACCTCATGTTTAGTATGAAAATATTATTGTTGCTGTGCAGCTGAGAACCTTTTGATGCATAGGGAGATGGACTTGTTAGTGGTTCCTTATTCGTCAGACCCCAGCCTCAAATTGATGCAGTGGCCGCTGTTCTTGCTTGCTAGCAAGGTTTGGTGAAATAGATTTGTAACTTGTTTGCATATTTTTAATAATACATATGATAGCTATTTATTCTTTTTGATGCAGATACCTATAGCTTTAGACATGGCAGCACAATTTAGACCTAGAGATTCAGATCTTTGGAAACGTATATGTGCTGATGAGTACATGAAATGTGCTGTACTGGAATGTTATGAGTCATTCAAACTTGTTCTTAATTTATTGGTGGTTGGAGAAAATGAAAAAAGGTATCTTCCAATATTTTCCACTCTTTTCATGCTGTTTGTTTTAACGAATTCTTTCATACTATTCAAATATTTATTCACGATGGGACCGGATGGTATCCCAATCGAGGTGTGGAGATGTCTCGGGGACATAGCTATAGTATGGCTAACCAAGCTGTTCAACCATATTTTTCGATCGAACAAGATGCCTAATGAGTGGAGGAGAAGTATATTGGTACCGATCTACAAGAATAAAGGGGATATTCAAAGTTGTACTAATTACCGGGGAATTAAGTTGATGAGCCATACTATGAAGCTATGGGAGAGAGTTATCGAGCATCGCTTGAGAGCAATAACGCGGGTCTCTATGAACCAATTTGGTTTCATGCCCGGAAGGTCAACCATGGAAGCCATTTTCTTAATAAGACAAGTTATTGAGCGGTATAGGGAGAAGAAGGACCTACACATGGTTTTTATTGACTTGGAGAAGGCTTATGATAAAATATCAAGGAATGTTATGTGGTGGGCTTTGGACAAACATAACGTCCCAACGAAGTACGTCGGGCTCATTAAGGACATGTATAACAATGTTGTGACTGGAGTTCGAACAATTGATGGAGACACGGATGACTTCCCGATTAGGATGAGACTACATCAAGGGTTAGCTTTGAGCCCTTATTTGTTTGCCTTAGTGATGGATGAGGTCACAAGGGACATACAAGGGGACATCCCGTGGTGTATGCTTTTCGCGGATGATGTAGTGCTAGTTGATGAAAGCCGGACAGGAGTGAATCAGAAACTGGAGTTATGGCGAGAGACTTTGGAGTCCAAAGGTTTTAGACTCAGTGGAACTAAAACGAGTATATGAGATGTGACTTCGGGACTACTACTCGGGAGGAGGAAGATATTAGTTTGGAAGGTCAAGTAGTGCCTAGGAAGGATACCTTTCGATATTTAGGATCAATGCTACAGAGAGATGGGGATATTGATGAAGATGTTAGCCATAGAATCAAAGCAGGGTGGATGAAGTGGCGGCAAACATCTGGTGTTCTATGTGACAAAAGGGTACCATAGAAGCTAAAAGGTAACTTTTATAGGACGGCGATTAGACCTGCTATGTTGTATGGTGCAGAATGTTGGCATACGAAAAGACGACATGTTCAACAGATAAGTGTCGCGGAAATGCGTATGTTGCGTTGGATTTGCGGTCATACATGAAGGGATCGAGTTCGGAACGATGATATACGTGATAGATTAGGGGTAGCATCAATTGAAGAAAAGCTTGTCCAACACCGGTTGAGATGGTTTGGACATGTCCAACGGAGACCTCCAGAGGCACCGGTGCGTAGTGGAATCCTAAGCCAGGATAGTAACGTGAAGAGAGGCAGAGGAAGACCGAAGTTGACTTGGATAGAGGCAATAAAAGGAGACTTGAAATGATGGAATATACCCAAAGACTTAGCCTTAGATAGGAGTGCTTGGAAGACAGCTATTCACGTGCCTGAACCTTGATTGCTTCTACTGGGTTTCAACTCTAGCCTACCCCAACTTGTTTGGGACTTAAAGGCTTTGTTGTTGTTGTTGTTGTTGTTGTTGTATTCAAATATTTATTCACGACAAAAGGAACACTGTCACTCGAAATTCTTCTGTAAAACTGTAACTTGCTTCCACTGTAGTGCTCTAGGAAATAAGCACTTCCATTTGAGACTAGGAAATAAGGTGGTGCTAGGCACCTATTCCTTCAACAATGTCACTATATGTATTTGTTATCCTTTTATTTCTAATGATACTACTATGTTCATTTAGACATGCCACAAAAACCATTGTATTAGGAGAAGATTAGTGGTACAATGGTTAAGATCGAACACAAATAAGTTCTACAAGAGAGCAATCAGGAAAAAAAAACTTAAGAAATGGTAAATGTGAAGCCAGCTAAGTAAATGTGGTAGGAAACTTTGAACTCTTTTTGTCTGCAAAACCATGCCTGTCACAAGCATCAGTTCCAAAGGTGCTTATCTGGAGGCACTTTATAATAAATTAATTTACATGTTCCCTAGTAGCTAAATATTGGCAACATACTAAGCCAAATATACTTGTTCCTTTGTAGGAGATAAAATTCCCTAGAAGCCTTCTTTTGGCTCTTTGGCACTCTGTGTCTCTTGTGTTCCGGCAGGCTGGGGGGCGGGGGGGGAGGGGCTGTCATGTGTGCCCCTCTGTCACTCCTGTAATTCACTCTTTTTTGCTTTCTTCTTAATTGAAAGGCAGAGCTCCTGCCATTGCGTTAAAAAACAAGCCTCCAGTCATATAACCAGTATCTTGGACTGAATTATTTTCACTCTTACTAATGATTCCAGAATCAATATCAGAATATGAGCTTTACATTACTATATGTAATTAGGCATGTGTGAGCCACTGAGCCAAGGTTACAAATCCTATACTAAGAATATTGAATCCAACATTTGCTGATCTTCATATGGATGCACATATTCATATTTCAATATTCAGGAACTAACTATTCCAAAATGAACCAGGGAGAAGGACAGACAAGCACCACCATAGATGTATAATATAAAGGAATGATTCTAGTTATTAAGCTTTAGCTGTTTTTAAATACGTAACCTAAATGGTACTGAAGGCATATGTGTTTGGCTTCTTCAACTGCATGGCTGTTTGTGCACTTATGTCTTTGAACTCCATGTTCAGTTGCTGATCCTCTTTTGGAATGTTTGTTCATTAACATCAACAGGATTATTGGTATTATAATCAAAGAAATAGAAGCTAATATTGGAAAGAATACGTTCCTTGCCAACTTTAGAATGAGCGCACTCCCAGTTCTTTGCAAGAAATTTGTAGAGCTTGTATCTACCTTGGTAATGCAATTTTACTACTTTACTCAATGTTCTCCTATTTGGCAATTTCAGTGTTTCAACTTTTTAAGATAGACAATCAATTCATGTATTGATTGTGATGCTAACATTACACGGTCACCTGCAGAAAGAAAGAGATGCCTCAAAGTTTGATAATGTGGTGCTGTTGCTTCAAGACATGTTAGAAGTGATAACAAGAGATATGATGGTTAATGAGATTAGGTTCTTTGTTGAGCTCCTGATAATTATATACACATCTTCATGTGATAGGCAACTAATTATTGTTACCTCTTATCATTTTCAGAGAGCTGGCTGAGTTTGGTCATGGTAACAAGGATTCAGTTCCGAGAAGACAGCTTTTTGCGGGTTCTGGTACAAAGCCTGCAATTGTTTTCCCTCCTCCGGTTTCAGCACAGTGGGAAGAACAGGTTATATAAGCAAATTGTTGATTGCCTTTATTACCAAGCGTGCATCTTAGAGTATATTGTCTTGTATAACAGTGTTCACAAACTCCACTTGTCTACAGATTAAGCGACTGTACCTTCTTTTGACTGTGAAAGAATCTGCAATGGACGTCCCAACAAATTTAGAAGCTCGTCAAGAATAGCATTTTTCACTAATTCACTATTCATGGACATGCCACGTGCACCTAGAGTACGCAAAATGCTCTCATTCAGGTTATTCTCATATAACAACTTGTTCACAATATTGCAAAATTGCTGTAGTGTCTAATGGTAGCGCAGTATCATAATTCTTCTGTTTCTTTTGACTCGCAGCAAGAAGATCCTGTTCAAGAATTTCTTAAAAAATGAGAGAACTAAAACTTATTATGCATTTAAACTTATTATGCATTTTTAATGAGGACAATTAGGTGTTAACTAGCTGGTATTCTATCCCTGTAACCTTGATATTTTTCCTGTCTTTCAAATATTTTGATTGAATCCTAGTCTGTTCCCAACTCTGCTTAGTATTCCCTAATTTTTTTCTCTTGAAAAAGTATTCCCTAAAATGAAAAAAATTGAAAATCATGATGATCTGTTGTTCACAAGTTTACATGAATACTTTTGGAATGAAGTTGAATCTCAAACTGTGTGCCCTCAAATAAAGAGAAAAAAAAACTACATTTGGACTATGCACAAGTTACTGTGGATATTGGATTTGAGGCAGGTGACCCTTTTTTTGACAAATGAACTGTGGGGGAGATCCCCACAGTAAAAGTTTTTGTGAAACAAACCAGACAATGGCCACTGTACAAAGTTATCAATTATTTCATCATAAATCCTCTAGTGATGTCATAATGACGCTGGTTTGCTTCTGAAACATTCTTAAAGTCCTGTGAGTTTTACATCTGTTGCCAATTTTGCTCTGGCTCGATTCAGACAGTCCTGATTTCAGACCTGATGGCTGAGTTGTGATGTTTACTAGAACAGAAGTTACTCTTCTGTCTTTTTTTAAGAAGTTACTTCATATGTGTTATTTAAACCAATGGCTGGAATGTGGCTATTGTTGATTCATTTCAAGTAGAACAGAATACGTCCAGAAAAGGGACAAGCCAAATAGCCAATGTGGGAAATATAAATACCATCACCAAACCCTGATCCCATTTTTATTCTTGTGTTGACCAAAGTGTACTCTTTTCTGTTTGAAGAAACACAAATTTTTTTTTCCCTTGAACAACACAGAAGAAACACAAATGGTTTTTTCAGATGCAATCTAATACATAAAAAAACTTTTCTGATTTTCTGTATCAACCATGTTGTATGTTTGGCATTTAAACGTATTATATCCAGAAAGTATAAATTCACCATGACAAAATCTCTTAACCCTGTTAGGTTTAAGTGTACTCTGTAATAAGAATTTCAGTGCAAAAGATTGGACTCTACATAATTCTATGTCACTCTATGCACCTGGCAGTGTTATGACTCCTTACTATAGTGAGGAAACTGTATATTCGAAAAGTGATCTTGATCTGGAGAATGAAGATGGTGTATCAATTATATTCTACCTACAAAAAATCTATCCAGGTTCCATTTCTCTTTGGTTTCCCATCAATCTTGATGCTTCAAATTATTTATTATTATGTTACAAATTTCCCCCCATTTTTATCCTGATTCCTGATGTAGATGAATGGAACAATTTCATGGAAAGAATTAATTGCAAAAGAGAAAGTGAAGTATGGGGAAACGAGGAAAATGTCCTACAACTTCGTCATTGGGCTTCTCTTAGAGGGCAGACACTCTGTAGAACAGGTAATTTGATCATCATTTGCCTTATCTTATCTAATAAAGATGACTTCGCTAACTACCAGATATATGTTTTTCTTTTAATATGTGAGTAGTTAGAGGCATGATGTACTATAGGAGGGCTTTGAAGCTTCAAGCGTTCCTTGACATGGCTTCTGAATCTGGTAAGCTTGTTAAAATTCCAGGTGGTGCATTTTTTTAGTGCCTTCAAAAAAATGCTACTGATCTGTGCTCTGTATTTCTTGCAGAGATATTGGAAGGGTATAAAGCAGTTGCAGATCCAGCAGAGGAGGAGAAGAAAAGCCAAAGATCTTTGTCCTCTCAACTCGAGGCTGTAGCAGACATGAAATTTACATATGTTGCTACTTGCCAGATATATGGAAATCAGAAACAATCTGGTGATCGACGTGCAACAGATATCTTGAACTTGATGGTGAAGTAAGTCGTTTCTTCTGAGAAAGAAATTAGAATTAGATCATTTTGCCAATCACTAGATATGATATATCCAAAATGTTTTTTTCCAATTTAAGGAGACTACTTTGGTTGCTTTTTTTATTTCAGTAGTTAACATTGAATTATAGTGAAGTCTCCCACAAAAAAACTAATCGCTTAGGTAATTTCAATTTGAAACTACAGTTACCCTGGTCTGCGTGTGGCATACATTGATGAAGTAGAAGAGAGAGAAGGTGACAAGGTGCAGAAGGTCTTTTATTCAGTTCTAGTAAAAGCTCTCGACAATCATGATCAGGTGAGCTTAACCATGAATACAAGTCCTTTTCCACCATTCCAAACCTATGGTGTCAACTTCAATAATGCTTACACTTTGTATCTGTGAAGGAAATATACCGTATAAAACTGCCAGGACCAGCAAAATTAGGTGAAGGCAAACCAGAAAATCAAAATCATGCAATCATTTTTACACGGGGTGAAGCACTCCAAACTATTGATATGAATCAGGTGAATTGAGTGGCTATGGTACAAGTCATGATATATCTTGCAATATGTGTTGTATTTATGAATTATCTTCAGGACAACTATTTGGAGGAGGCTTTCAAAATGCGAAATTTGCTGGAAGAGTTTAATGAAAACCATGGTGTCCGTCAACCCACGATTCTTGGAGTGCGTGAGCATATATTTACTGGAGGGTAGGTTGAAACTTTGCGGTTATCATTGTGTTTTCTTCATCATAATTTCCATACCAGCAACTAATTTTTGATAACTGTGGATTGTAGTGTGTCGTCACTTGCATGGTTTATGAGCAACCAGGAAACCAGCTTTGTGACAATAGGACAGAGGGTCCTAGCTAATCCATTGAAGTAAGTATGAATCATTGTCTTATGTCATATTGGAATGAAACAATATGAATTATTATCATGATGTAACACCGAGTGTCTTATATGTTGCAATACAATATTGGATCTGCTGAGCATCTATGGCAACTATTCCTGAGGAAAATATTACGAGATGATCATCTAAGGATATTCTTTCTGCACTTGAAAGCACGCATGAATATGTCTCAGATTACAAGTAAATAGAAAATAGATCAGTTGCTTGAAAATTTTTCTGCATTGAAGCTTTTCAAGTTTAAGCATGTTGACTGGATAAACTGTTGGGCTACTTTCTGAGAAGACACAAGGCGCCACACTTTGTAGTCTAAATACTCTGTACCTGACGCACTTCATTATCTGTGCAGGGTACGTTTTCACTATGGACATCCTGATGTGTTCGATAGGATTTTTCATATTACCAGAGGAGGCATCAGCAAGGCTTCTTGTGGTATAAATTTAAGTGAAGACATTTTTGCTGGTATGTGACTTAATGAAACGTGCGCTCAGGCACATTCTCAACAAAAGTTTTTCTTCATGTATTTCTGTTTGTTACCCATTTCTGCTCTTGAATGCATGGAGTTGAATATTATTTTCAGGTTTCAACTCGACTCTAAGAAGAGGAAATGTCACCCATCATGAGTACATCCAAGTGGGAAAAGGGCGTGATGTAGGTCTCAATCAAATTTCTCTCTTTGAGGCCAAAGTGGCTTGCGGAAATGGGGAGCAGATACTCAGCAGAGATATCTACAGGCTTGGTCATCGATTTGACTTCTTCCGGATGCTTTCGTGCTATTTTACAACTGTTGGGTTTTATATTAGCTCAATGGTAATGTATATATGGCACCAGCTTGCATTACAGTATTTGTTAGCAACAGCTCTCCTCCATCACATGTTTTCTCATGTTCTTGTCTTAATGTTGTGCAGATGGTTGTGATAATAGTTTATGTTTTCTTGTACGGAAGACTGTACTTAGCATTAAGTGGACTGGAGTTTGCAATTATGAAACAAGCACGGATGAGAGGGAACCGTGCACTTCAAGCGGCTATGGGATCTCAGTCTATTGTGCAGCTAGGTCTTTTGATGGCATTGCCAATGTTTATGGAGATTGGGCTAGAAAGAGGTTTCAGAAGTGCCCTAGGGGATTTCATAATCATGCAACTTCAGCTTTGTTCAGTGTTCTTCACTTTCTCCCTTGGGACCAAGTCACATTATTTTGGCCGCACAATTCTCCATGGCGGTGCAAAATATAGGGCAACCGGCAGAGGCTTTGTTGTTCGCCATGTAAGGTTTGCTGAGAATTACAGAATGTACTCCAGAAGCCATTTTGTGAAAGCACTTGAGCTGATGTTACTGCTAGTAGTCTATGAGTTGTATGGCGATGTTGCTACAGATTCGACTGCCTATATACTTCTGACATCATCCATGTGGTTCTTGGTCATAACTTGGCTATTCGCTCCATTCCTCTTCAATCCATCAGGTTTTGAGTGGCAGAAAATAGTAGATGACTGGGATGACTGGACCAAATGGATTAGCAGTCGAGGTGGCATTGGGGTTCCTGCTAACAAGGCTTGGGAATCCTGGTGGGAAGAGGAGCAAGAACATTTACAGTCCACAGGTCTACTGGGCCGTTTCTGGGAAATCATACTATCTCTCAGATTCTTCATATTCCAATACGGTATCATGTACCATCTGAATATATCTGCTGGCAACAAAAGCATCTCTGTAAGTTCTTTTTTCATTTGAGTTTCTTTCTTCAAAGAGTTCAATGAACATAAGGCTTTGTGGATAAACCACCACACAGTTCTTTTGTTGTTTAAGAGAACTATTCGACGCTATTATTGTGGCTGTACACTAAAAATATGATTTGTGACTTCAGGTTTACGGTCTTTCTTGGCTGGTTATTGTTGCTGTGGTGATGGTCCTAAAGGTGAATTTTATTTCCCTGGTAGCTTTGAAATACATGTATATGCTGTGTGTGCATCTAGTTACTGTCTTCTTTAAGTTCTTCAAAATGAGCTGCCCTTGTTAAGTTGCTGATCAAAATCTTCTTTAGGTGGTATCCATGGGTAGGAAGAAATTTAGTGCGGATTTCCAGCTTATGTTCCGGCTTCTCAAATTGTTCTTGTTCATCGGATCTGTTGGAACACTGGCAGTTCTTTTCACTGTTCTGCATCTTACAGTCGGTGACATATTCGCAAGCTTCCTTGCATTTGCACCCACAGGATGGGCCATTCTGCAGGTACCTCCATCAGTATCACCCCTCTAATTTCATTTCTCAATCTCCTAAATGTCATATGCTAAGTATGATGCCTAAAAAACTGTTGAGATGAAAAATGACTTTAAACTATTGGCCAGCTGGAAGGTACCTCTGTGAGTATTCGATGTTTTCTGTAAAACGGTTGATTGCTATAGAAAACATTTCAGACTCCAATCCGTTTCTGACCTTTACACCAGATATCTCAAGCAAGTAAACCGGTGATCAAGGCATGTGGGCTGTGGGGATCTGTGAAGGCCCTCTCGAGGGGGTACGAATACCTGATGGGGATCGTCATCTTCGTCCCGGTGGCGGTGCTGGCATGGTTCCCATTTGTCTCGGAGTTCCAGACGAGATTGCTCTTTAATCAGGCATTTAGCCGAGGGCTTCAAATCTCTCGGATCTTGGCTGGCGGCAAGAAACAAAGATGATGTTAGTACAGGAAACATTCGTAAACACAGGTTAGACAAGGGAGTAGCTCCAGGATTGTTGTACATGGGTGTTGGAGGAATAGTAAGGCTGCTGATGCTTTCATAGCTATCGCTGTATACACAAGGCTGGTTTTTCTTTGGCATTTTCGTTGCATGTCATACGACATTGTTACCTCTTGACTCTTGATACATAGCTTTTTTTTCGAGAACGGCCCCCTCCGACTCGTGTTTCATTAAGAGGAGGTTAGAGTTTGTTGTACAACGCATATCACTCGTTTCCCCATGAGAACAACGATTGTTGCACCGTAGGGAAGCTGAATGTGTGCACGACCAAGATACTTATACAAGTATGCACGCAAGCCGAATGTGTGCACGTTATTTCTTAATTCCTTTGAAATTGAGTATATTTTTTGTAATTCTCATTAAAAAAATGTATTAAAAATTATGCTCTAACATGGCATGCGCCTAGTCTAGCCGGACAGTATGACTTGGCCATCCAAGATGTGTCGTACACGTGCGATTGTGTTAAACTTATATTTTCCTCATGTCACGTACTCCCATATGTTATATTACCGTGCAACTTAATTCAATTGCTTAGCACAATTGATCTATGTGAGCAAAATTTTATTAAGAGTTGGGAGGAGCATACCAAATAACAGCAACTTAACGGTTTTATGATAGAAGTGGCATTAACGAAAACACAAGTTTCAAATAATGGCACTAGGGGTCGGTCACTTCTCACTTCACCGAAAGCTGAATCATCATAAAATGCAGTGTGCCCCCACATACCATATTTGGCCCGTTCGCTTCACTGAAAAAAATAAGACAAAACACTGTTTCGATTAACTTGTTGTGAGAGAAAAATATTGTTCCGGCTGAAAAAACTAGCTGAAAAGTACGGATTATAAGATAAGCGAATATGGCCATTATGGCAGACATTCATTCCTGTGGAAGGAAACATCGATTGCAACGGCACCAAACAAACTCGCCTATCAGCAGTGTCCATGCTCTCCCTATTCCAAGCTTGCACTGCCAATTAAGTAAAGCGCGTGCATCCGGGACACTCATCATCGCATCCCAGCGAAACGAGCAGGGGAAGGCGACGCCCAGCGCGGGATTTTCGCTGTTTCTACTACAGCTCCTGGTACGGGCTCGGCGCACCAGCCACCATTCAGTCATACTCGTATTCACTAGGCGGGTCGCGGGTGCCGGGGTGCGCGCGCGTGCGGGGCGCGAGTTGCGCCACCCCCGCCCACCTTTGTCTCGCCAGCCGGGCGGGCGACCAGTGCCAGCCGCGCACAAGCTAGCTAGCTAGCTACTTGTGGAATTCGCCGTGCAAGCACCGGCCGCCGACGCGACGGGAGACGCGCCGGCGAGGCGGATCGATGGGCTCCTCGGCGGGGTCCACCCCGACGGTGCGGGCAGCGCGGCAGCAGCAGCGCGGCGCGGGCGCGGGCGAGGCGCCGTCGTCGTCGAGCCCCGTCTTCCTCAACGTGTACGACGTCACCCCCGCCAACGGCTACGCCCGGTGGCTCGGCCTCGGCGTCTACCACTCCGGCGTGCAAGGCACGTTCGTTCACCAGGCACCCACCCACGGGTCCCCTCCCTCCCTCCTTCCCTCCCTCCTCCTCCGCCGGCGCGTCCTAGCACGACGACTCTCTCGCTCTGTGCTGTGCTGACGCCTGACTGGCTGCTGTGGTGCAGTTCACGGCGTGGAGTACGCGTACGGGGCGCACGACGCCGCGAGCAGCGGGATCTTCGAGGTGGTGCCGCGTCGGTGCCCGGGTTACACGTTCCGGGAGTCGGTGCTGGTGGGCACGACGGAGCTGGGCCGCGCCGAGGTGCGCGCGCTCATGTCCGACCTCGCCGCCGAGTTCCCCGGGGACGCCTACAACCTGGTGTCCCGCAACTGCAACCACTTCTGCGACGCCGCGTGCCGCCGCCTCGTCGCCGGGCGCGCGCGCATCCCGCGCTGGGTCAACCGCCTCGCCAAGATCGGGGTCGTCTTCACCTGTGTCATCCCGGGCAACGGCCGCGCCGTCGTGCGCGGCCGCAGGGGCGCCGAGTCGTGCCCATCCTCCGCCGCCGCCGCCGGGAAGGGCGGCGGCGTCCGTAGCCGGTCCGCGCCGCCGCGCCCGAGGACGACGTTCTTCCGGTCCCTCTCCGTGGGCCGGCGCAAGAACGTGACCATGCCCCGGCCGCTGTCCGCCTCCCCACCGCCGCCGCCGCCGCTGGCAGACGCCTCGACGTCAACGTCGTCGGGGTCCACCACGTAAACGGCTCCGTTCCTCCAGAACATTATCTTCTTTTATTATAGTTTTCTTACCTGATTTTTACTAAACAACTCTGTGCATATTATTATTTCAATCTTTGCTAGTAGTAGTGCGTGCCTACTAGGAGTAGTACTTTATTTAAAAAAAAGAGAGAGTAGTACACCAACCGTGGTTAATTCGGGTCTTAATTCTGGTTGGTGGTACTAATTCTGCTAGGCTCTAGTGATATCATCCAGTGGGCCGAACGAGCAGTGTTTGTGTTTGTTGCCAGTTGCCACCACTATTTGGTGGTTACTCATAGTAGGTTGTGATCAACGACGTGGCTCTTGCTGTTTGGCATCGATCCATCTATTCACAGCATGTCGTTTTTTTGTTTTTAGTTAGGGTTTATTAGCCAGTCAATAATATTTTTCTCTTACAACAAACCAACACCAGCTTAAACTTATCAGCCCAAAACCAACCAGGGAACATGCTCAATGTTCTCTTCGGTCGAGTGATCCAACACCAACTTGGGATGCATTCGTCTTTTCCTCGTCTTTGGATCCAACTCAGACTCAGCCTGCACTTGCAAGCATCGAAGCCCAGCACATACGCTTTGGCGATGCTAGGCATAGGAAGAGTGGTGACTGAATGCATCCACTAACGCGAATTCCTGGAGAACAGCCCTAGTCCATTAGTGCAGGTACGTAGGGAGGGGGTTTGATGATGGGTGCCGGTGGGACGGCGCACTTGCGGTGTACGAACGCGTCGTTTTAGTGGCGCTCCACGCACGCCCTGGACCGGCAAGGCTGCAAACGGTGGTTGACCCGACCCGACCCGACCGGCAGCTGTAATGGTATTGACTCCGATGACGCCTGCGGTAATGCTCGGAATAAAGCTTGCGTCAAGACGAGTCAGACGACGGACCGCACGTCTGCCCGCACGTTACTACTTGCCAATGGTTGACAGAGTGCTCGATCCGACCAATCGACTCGCTGATGCGTGTCACCTTGACCGGATTGGATCATCCCGTTCAAATATCCGCTGAAACTGGCATCGGCGCTCGAGAGAATCCAATCGGCATGGCAGGTTGAAGAACGTGAATCGATACAGTATCTTTGTTGTGTGGATTCTAGGAGCACATCGGAACAGTGCAGGATGATCCGATTCAGACCTCTCTGGGTCTGTGCAGGCCAAAGCGACGGCGGCAAGGCTAATCATGGATGCTGATGGGGCATGGGCTTGCTTTCCTTTGTGTGGACACCGGACAGCGCCTTTTCAGCACTTGTCCCCCCGCCGGCCACCGGACCGAATCATTGATCCATCGCCAGCTGACGAAGCATGCCGTATGCCGCGCAACTGGCCCGGCCGCCCCCATGGGACATCGGACACATAACATGGCCATGGAGAGTAGAGTAGGGCGGCCTTTCCAGCTGCCGCGGTCGCGTCTGGCACGGTGCACCACTGCACCCCCAACTAATCCCCGCGGTCAGGCCACCAATGATTCGCTGGCTGGCTCGCGCTTGCTCTTGCTCTTGCTCTTGCTCCTACCCAGACCGCCGCCTGCACTGTGCAGATGACGTCCAGGATTTTTCAATCAGAAGGACAAGGGAAAGTGTCCTTGTAGCACTAATTAATCACGTACTGTAGGTATGGGGGTGGCATGACATTTGTACTCGGATGCACGCACCCACCGACGCTCTCCAACAGGAACAGCGGGCAAATGTTGAGCTCCCCGTCCGACGTGGGTGCCCGTCACTCTGGTCTCTGGTCATCCACCTCCCTGATGCTGATGCAACGCACATCCGGCCATGGAGAGTAGAGGCAGTTTAGGCGTGGGTCTGAACATTTGTCCAGCTCGCGATCTCCGCCGAGTTGTCGCGCCGAACGTTCTTGGCACGGTGCACCACTGCAGCGCCAAGGCAGACTAATCCCCCGGACTCGGCCAGGCCACCAATGATTCGCTGGCTGGCTCGCGCTTGCTCTTGCTCTTGCTCTTGCTCCTACCCAGACCGCCGCCTGCACTGTGCAGATGACGTCCAGGATTTTTCAATCAGAAGGACAAGGGAAAGTGTCCTTGTAGCACTAATTAATCACGTACTGTAGGTATGGGGGTGGCATGGCATTTGCACTCGGATGCACGCACCCACCGACGCTCTCCAACAGGAACAGCGGGCAAATGTTGAGCTCCCCGTCCGACGTGGGTGCCCGTCACTCTGGTCTCTGGTCATCCACCTCCCTGATGCTGATGCAACGCATTGTCCGGCGCAGTTTAATGCGCGTCCTGTCTCGCTGACCGACCGGCAGTTTAATACGGCGTGGTTGGTCTGAACATTTGTCCTGATCGATCGAACGATCTCCGCCGAGTTGTCAGCGCCGAACGTTCGGGCGCCGCAAGTGCCGGCCACGTCGCCCGCGGCCTGCGGCCTGGCTAGCGCCAAGGCAGACGAGACGGCCCGGACTCGGCGCACGGGGCAGCCCAGCCACCGGGGCGTGCGGCCTCCACGCGGTTCCGCGAGCCGCGCAGCGCACGGCTCCAGTCCGCGGACTCCGCCAAATCAGCCCACTTCCTACACTGCCGGCCCAGCTCCAGAAGCCCACTGCCGGCCCCCTCGGCGTTTCCCCCACCCTTTACCGCGTGTACTTGCCGGTGGTGAAGTATCCACCGCGCAGACCGGGAACAGCGAACGGGAGCACGAGCAGTATGCCACGGCGACGGTCCGGTCGTGCGTTCACTCTCGCCGCCTCAGCGTGGTCAGACCGGAGGAGGAAGTCATGGAGGCTTTTTCAAACAAAATAGGAGAGGACCCGTGGAACGGACCATCGGATTTGAATATCGACGCGGTGCATATGCATGCACCCGGCGGCATCTCTGTCGACTGTCGTTCGAGAAAGCCAGAAAAGGGTATATGTCGCTGTTGAGTGTGTACAGCCAAAAAATTTAAAATCTTTGACGTAGAGTGTCGACATCTCTATCTCTATACGCGGAAGTGAATTTTACTAATCACAGATGACGGCGATCGCACGTAATGCGCCATCACTAGCAAACTGCGACCGCGAGCGACATTTTGGAGGGAGAAAAAAATAGACAGTGTCTTTTTACGCTTCATTCACGGAAAAGCTTCCGACAGGTAGTAGAGAGGTACTTGCTTCCACATAGGATAAGAGATGATTGAAGTTTGCCCCCATGAATGTAATGGGTTTAGGTAAACTCGACATCTCTTCTCATCACTAATTAAGTATACTAATCCCAGATGACGGCTTATCGCACGAATACGCCATCACTAGCAAACTGCGACCGTGAGCTTCTTTTTCAAAAAAAATAGACAGTGTCTTTTTACGCTTCATTCACGGAAAAGCTTCCGACAGGTGCCGTATTTTGGATGATGCAGTAGGTACTCTTGGTTTTAGAGAGGTACTTGCTTCCACATAGGATAAGAGATGATTGAAGTTTGCCCCCATGAATGTAATGGGTTTAGGGTAAACTAAGGCTCTTTCATCACTAATTAAGTATAATGTATCTCTCCTACCTCTTTCTTTCCTCATATTTGGGCCAATCAAATCAAAGATTGTACACTTTACTTTGATGTGGGGTACATTTGACTTTCCTTACCTCCCTTAAATTGACCTAAAAATCCTAAGACCCCTAGTATTTATGGGCGATTGGATCAACATTTTCAACTAAAAAAGTATTATATTTCAGGTGTCTCAAAACTGAAGTTTTCATCACACAACCAATACGAGCCCTTGATTCTCCATCCAATAGCTGGTGTCTTCTCTTTTTCCTCGATTCAGTACCTTCTCTATAGGCATAGGTGCCACAACAACACACTCTCTACTCCTACGTTTAACTTCCTCTCATCCCTGGTGCCACAGGTGGAGCCACATTAGGGCCATCCTGGGCGCCGGCCCCCATTGCTCGGGATAGATTTGCAAAGAGAACCTATGTCTTGAGTAGCATGTATGCACACTTGAAAGTTGCAACTACGCACACACATCTGCATCACTGCATGGTCTAGCTACATACATTCATCTACGTCTCGACTAAACTTGCATTAGTTTCTTTTTTATTCTAGCTGCTTCCATCCTGATGATACTAGGAGTATATTTCAATGCATTATTACAAAACTTAATTAGCATTTGTGTTTAGCTCATCTGGCCGCTTCAAATGAGTACTGTTGTTGTTTCCCCTGTTTGCATGCAACTGCATTATAATATTTCACTTATATTAGTCTGTTACTTTAGTACGTCTATTTAGCTCTCTTGTTCTACTTAAGAAGGACAAATGGCAACTAGCGGGAGTTCATCTTGCAACAGCTTACACTCATCAGGTAACATATAGTAGACTGCATATGCATTAATTTATAAAAAAAAAGGCGTACCCAGTGCAGAGAGCTCCCGCTCTGTGCGGGGGCTGAGGAAGGGTGTTAGTGGCCAGCCTTGTGTTAGACTCGAATCCGCCTTCCGGTCCACAAGTGATGTAAGACTTCTACCGCTTGTGTGTCTGACCTGCGAGGCATTAATTTGTCTATTAATATATTTAATTTAGACCTTCCGGTCCACTAGAATTGTATAGCTATGTTATAGAAAGAAGATTATGCATAACTAGTGATTAGTCACAAGACTATTTTAAGTAAGATCAAATTTTATAGAAAAGAACCTTCGTATTTATGCATTAATTTGTCTATTAATATATTTAATTTAGCTTACAAGCTCCTCCACTAGAATTGTATAGCTATGTTATATAGAAAGAAGATTATGCCTATAACTAGTGATTAGTCACAAGAGAGGGGAAATTTAATTTTTAATTTGCAATTAGAGCAACGCGCCGCTAATGCACCAGTCGTGGCTCTTGACCTTTTCTCAGTCACAGCACAACTTGTGCTTGTGACGGAGTCAAGGGTAATCCAAATAACAAAGCTAATGCACTGCTAGAAACGACTTATGGCTGAAGGTTTTAGAGCTGTATCACAAACAATATCCATTCCATTTTGCCATAAACTCGAAGTGTGCCCGTGATAGCT